AAATGAGACATCAGATCACTATTTATTGCACTGCATATTTTACAATACTGAAAGGACCAAAATGTTGTAATCCATATCTTGCCTTCATCTTGAAAACATACTCCCTTTCGACCCACTCAACGCACATGACGCCACATTATGCACATACAACATCAACATACAGTAGAACATACAGCATAGACATTACTAAATTTACAATGCCTTGTTTTTTTAGTACAAGTATCAATTTGAAACACTTTCACAAGGAGAATCAGCCTACCTCCTAGCCTGAGTGTCAGCCTTGTTAGCTTTCGTTCGTTCCCCAAGATCCGCTCCCCGCCAACAGGAGAGCGGATCTTGGGGAGCGGATGAAAGCTAACAAGGCTGACACTTAGGCTACCTACCTCCCCCAGATGGTCCAGAAATCGTGTAGACTTCCGCAGGAAGTCCTCATCCACATGTGGGTCGATTCCTTTGACTGCGTCCACGTAGTCTGGCCACCTCAGTACAGGACACTTCGGGCTGCACTTCGTCTGGCACCAGTTGGGCAGTCGCTTGATGATTTCTGCGCACAGTTTGGGCATCAGGCGTTGGTGCTGTGCAAGTTGTAAATGGAAATACATGACTGGTCATTTATCGCAAATGTTGTCAATGCATTGTCTCGTATCACCTGCTACTCTCATTACACACTTACCTCTAACATGGCCTTCTTCAGCGTAGCCAGCAGTTTCTTGAGTCGGTCCATCTCAGGTGTTCGCGTCACCTTGCAGTTCATCAGGAAGACTTCGTCTGAGATACGGAGGAGATCTTTAAACTCCGCTTTCATCAACTGCAGGAGATGAGCAGCTTGGCGTTGTCCTGAACGTTATCAGCAAAGCGAAACATAGATGAGACTTTTAATTAAATTCATGCTGATTATGGTATGGTAATACCATAATCACTGTAATATATGTCTACAAATGCCATTATGCTAAATCCTGCATTTAGCACACTGCATACATTTTTTTTAACCGTTTTAATGTCATTTTTTCAACGAACCGGGGTTTAGACATGCCTGCACCAAATACAAGTCTTTTTGTTAAAGCAAGATTTTTGCGGCTGGATGCCCTTCCTAACGCCAACCCAAACCCTAGTAGGGCCCAGGAACGCTCTAACTGAGGGGGGGATATACGTGTTAAGTGCCTTTCCCAAGGGCACAACGTCTGGGTGCAAGTCCGAACATGTCTGGGTCCAACCCTGGGGATTGAACCTGGGTCTCCTTGCTTGACAGTCCACACAGACGCCATATATAACTGAATTACTTATAATAATAAAGTATACACATTGCTTTTATGTGTTCACTTATAACATGAAGTTGGATATGTAGTCTTGGATACTCTACTCACCACTTGTGGGCGACACTTTGTCGGCATGGCTGGCCACTAAGATGACGTCACGCTGCCGGTTTGGGTTGCAGGACTTGATGAAACTCAGCCACCGGTGGACCTGGAGCCAAACATTCCACAAATTTACATGGTTGCCTAGACCGGTTCTGAACAAATGATATGAGAACATGTTAAAAACATTCCATTAAACTGGCTTTGATCAACATTAATTGTATATTATATCGTACAATTAACAATTTTGTATGGTTATCTATGCAGTTATTTAACGTTTATTGTGCTGTTTACGTCTTGTTCTTTGGTGTCGTCCGTGATGTTGTACAGCACAATGGAGATGGTGTTCTCTGCATCCATGAACATGCTGTGGGTTACCGCGTACTCCGACTGCCCAGCAAAATCCCACAGGCTGACCTCCCCCACCGCTGGAATATGGAACGTCCCAACATCCACCCCTGGGGTGGGGTCGTAAGGCTCCTCGGCTGACGACGGTTTTCTCAGTCCTTGGAGCAGTGCTGGCACGCGGCCCTGTTGGAAAGGAGTTACCTAATGAACTCTGACGTCTTTAATGCAATTTGCTATCTATTAGACTAAGATATCTACTATTCATTTAATTAATTTTCTCGTGAAACGAGATCGGTAGGATTTATGGAAGAAGCAAAGTTCCAACTTACCCTTTGGAAACTTATCTTGAGTGTGGACTTTCCCGCTTTCGCTTGCCCAAACAAGGACACCTTACACCTGTCGGTCTTCACTCCGCCAGACTTCTGCAGCAACTCGTGGTGCAACTTCTCTTTGATCAATTCCTTTGGCAGATTCTGGTGGCAGGTAGAAAAACCAAATGCAGCATAAGTTCTCAAAATCGGTGATATTGATAAACAGGTTTGAACAACATTACTGAAATATTTTCAACATAGTCCTAATTATTAATCAGTTTTCTTTGCTAGCACAAGCAGTTACATCCTGATTAACCCAAAACTCAGAGGTGTAAAGACACTCCTTTTGCCATAGATCCATGAGAATATTGTTCACCTTCAGTAGACGCCGAGTCTCCTTATAGCGTGTTAGATCAGAAGGTGTCCGTCCGTCCTGTACAAGAAGACATTACAAATGTGTTACTCTCCATGTGCACCTAGCAATGTCTTAGGATGACACCAAAACTATCATAGCTTTATCAAATATTGGTGCGACTTTGAACGGTTGATATTGTAAGTTATACTATCACCGTCGTCACTTATAGGCTAACAATATCAAAGCAGGGCATTACGATCTGATCGGCAGTAGTATGACGGAGGTTACTTATACGTCGATGAAGGTTAGACATCCAGGTAATACGATACGTCAAAAGTAGTTACTCAAGCAACTGGATATGATTTTGAAAATCAATCAATGAAAATTATGATTTTCATTGATTGATTTTCAAAATCATATCCAGTTGCTTGAGTAACTACTTTTTGGCGGAGGTTACTCATGTTTGTGGTGGGGGTCCGCTACTGGAGCATTCCATCTTCCATGACTGATCACCACATACAAGCTTCCCTCCTGAGCACTCAATGTACCACCTCGTATTGCATCCGAGAAAACCGGAGAGAGATGGGATCTTAAATAAATTTTTAAAGATGTGGTGTGCATCTGTATACATAACCAGCATGACCCCCATTCGGCTAATTCACACTAAATAACTTGTGGCACCCAGACCATGTAAGACGGTGTAATATGATGCAGTATACATTTGTTACAGGATGCTGTTCCGTTTTTTTTTATTGAAACATACCATGACAAAACGTGGTGGCGACATGAATATAAGTGTAACTTGAGTGTGTCGCCACACACCAGACAATACGTAACACAAGTCCAGATTTTCATTCATAAGCTGAATACAACAATCAATTAATAAACTACTGAAAAGAACGGGAAACAGTCATGCCTTCAAATATCAGAGTTATCAACCGAGAATTGAGGTGTTCAAAAACTCGTATTTCCCCAGAACTATCGTAGATTGGAACCCGTTGCCACCAAGCACAGTTGGGGAATCATCACTAGAAAGCTTTAAACAACTCCTGCAATTAAATGTGCAAAGATTGAGTGTAACAAGTCGTTCCGTGTGATATAGCTAGCTGCCGCCGCGCCGCGTGCCTGCGAAGCTGGTGTGTTACGCCGAACGGCGGTTATACCGGCTGTACTGATACAGATGTCGGCGGTCGGACAGTTTTTCCCACCCTAGTTCATTAAGAATAGATTTGTACGAGGACCCTCTAATCGCACCCGATGCAGTAAGCGAGCATTCTGTAGACGTTCAATCTGATGTGAGTCAGCGGTAGTGCAGCTGTGCCATACAACATCCCCATGTGCTAATATAGGCCGAATATAAGATTTATAGATTGTTTCGAGAACCTTGCGAGACAACTAAAATTTTAGTTTAGTAAAAATTAAAACTTTTTTTATGCGTTGGCTACCAGCTGTAATATATGAGTGTTCCACGACATATTAAATGATAGATGTTCCGTTGTTGTTGTGTATAGGACTTGGATACATCTAATTATGTAATCTATGGAAAGTGGAACATTAACGAATACAAATAATGCAAATTAAGTATGTTGTGGCATATGGGCATAAGTGTGTCTACATGTAGTCAATACATTATTACTAATTTTCTTATTGTCATTATTGTTTCCGAATCGTCCACGGCCTCGGGCCGAATCGTCCTGGACTTGAGGCCGAACTGTCTTGATACCTGTTTCCATGCTCTATGTTACATGTAATGTCTGTATTCAATTTGTGCAGGTGTGCACGCTATCAGCATACATTATACATGCTGCCTAGTGCACTACTTGTTTTGTCGCGTAACAATTTTGAATTTCATTTCAGTTCATTTATATGATAAATAAATAAATAAATAAAATTATTACCAAGTTCACATCCATATGTAATCTGTAGGGTCCATTTGAAACAAGTGTGTATTACCTCACTCCTGGCCGTCACGTCTGCCCCATGACGAATCAGAAGCTCACAAGTCCCGGTGCGGTCCAGGTAAGCAGCCCCATGCAAAGGTGTGCTCTGGTCCTGTACAGGGGGGAAGGTCAGGGTCAGTAGGGACGGGAAGTGACGTACACGTACCTTTCCCCTCATCAACCTCGGGTGAGGTTTATGCGTTGATAGAGGCTAATGTATGTATAAGGTTTGTGCATGTTCGGGTTGGTTCGATATTTCTGCAATATAACTGCTGCCGGCTTCATGTTCCCGCCAGACTTGCCATGCAATGCACAACTTTGGTACAATCTGAATCTTATCTTATCAGCCCGTGTAACCGCCGTTCCATGTGACACACCAGTTTAGCACGCCGCTGGTTATGTCACAACGATTGAGGTCGCACCTTAACCATGTATAGCATAATGTAATATACTGTACAGTACATTGAAGGTTGCTTTTATCGATTATCATGTTTGTATTTACGCACTACTGGTACAAAGTTGGGCATGTTTGAATTGTTCATCCTAGCTCTTTGCACATGCGAATTTATGTTTATTTTTGGTCTATCATAGGAACAAATGTGTATAGTTTAGACATGTAGTAAATGATACATTATTACCAAGTTCACATCCATGTAATCTGTAGGGTGCATTTGAAACAAGTGTGTATTACCTTATCCCTGGCCATCACGTCTGCCCCATGCCGAATCAGAAGCTCACAAGTCCCGGTGTGGTCCCACCAAGCAGCCTTATGCAAGGGTGTTTCCTGGTCCTGTACAGGAAGGAAGGTCAGGGTCAGTAGGGATGGGTTCAACACGGACAGCAGTTATCACGTGGGTAAGCTACAGTATGGGCTGCATGTTAAGTTAAGTTGTGTGTATCAAAAAAAGTTCCTGAACCCCCTGCTATAGATCCGTCATACCTGATCAGGTACACTTTATATTATATTGATCGTTATGCCACATTCATGCCTGTTTCCTGTATTGTCACACTGATCTTTGTCTATTTATGTTGTACCTAATGAGTACCTAATCAACTAATGTCTGTATTATTGTCTGTATCCCTGTTCCATATTCACGTAATCTGTAGGGTCCAGTTGAAACAAGTGTGTATTACCGAATCCCTGGCCGTCACGTCTGCCCCATGACGGATCAGAAGCTCACAAGTCCCGGTGTGGCCCCGGAGAGCAGCCTCATGCAAAGGTGTGTTATGGTACTGTACAGGGGGGAAGGTCAGGGTCAGTAGGGATGGATTCAACACGGACAACAGTTATCACGTGGGTAAGCTACAGTATGGGCTACATGTAAAGTTGTGTTAAGGAGGTTATAACCTGCTTGGTTGTGTACACCAACAAAAGTTCCTGAAACTCCTGTTATGGATTTTCTCATACCTGATCTGATCAGGTATACTGTATGTTGTATTGACTTTATGCCACATTTATGCCTGTTTCCTGTATTATCTCCTTAGATATGTTTATTTATACCGTACGTCCGTACCTAATGAGTACCTATTATAAATCAGCTAATGTTTGTATAATTGTCTCTGTACCATATTCATGCAATCTGTAGGGTCCATTTGAAACAAGTGTGTATTACCCAACCCCTGGCCGTCACGTCTGCCCCATGACGAATCAGAAGCTCACAAGTCCCGGTGCGGCCCTCGCGAGCAGCCAGATGCAAGGGTATTTTCTGGTCCTGTGCAGGGGGGCAGGTCAGGGTCAGTAGGGATGAACTTTCATGCTGACGGACAACAGTTATCACGTGGGTAACAAGCAGTATGACGTTCCGTCGATCACTAACAGGTTCCCGGATGTCCAGCTACGATCCCGCCATAGCCTGACTGGTGCAAACGATCAATTTTAATTTTAATCAGAGAAGAAAAACAAAAGGAGGCATGTGTGGCGCCAACCTGAAGTTAAGTCACTTATATTACAGCACCAAAAAGAGACAAGTAAGGAAAAAAGTATGAAGGAACAAACCTACGCAGAGGTCGAGTATTGACTGGATTGATGCTGATTAATTACAAGGAACGAAGGATAAATCAAGGTAACGAGTGTAAAGTGCAAGTGATCCACACTATATATAGTTACTACCACCTCACACATGTGTAACAGAAGTGTGATTCCTGTAAGGTGACTAACGAATGAAATGTAGTTGCGTTTCTGTTATGTGTGCAATAGAAAGTTGTGGGCAAAACTTTCACTTTCAAACCTCACATGGAAACTACTTAGGATTTGTGTTTTATCTTCCTGACCTTTCTGACCCAGACTGAGGGGAGAAACTTGACATTGGAACCACGAGTCACCCTGTCAGGGTTCAGGACAGGAGAAGTCAGGACTGAGTAATTTCTACTTACCCAGCCCCTCGCCTCCAGGTCGGCACCGTGTTCGATCAGCAATGCCGCCACTTCAGTCCACCCGCGCTCGCTGGCCACATGCAGGGATGTCTGGTCATACTGGATAGAACAACAGTTGGGACGATAACTGGTTACAAAGCAGCTGTTTGAGCCATGCGTTTACTAAACATTATATCACTCAGAATGGATAGGGAAGTGTGACAAAGAAGCCACGAGTTAACCTGCAAGGTTCAGGTCCGGAGAAGTCAGGGCCGAGTTATTTCTACTTACCCGGCCCCTCGCCTCCAGGTCGGCACCGTGTTCGATCAGCAATGCCGCCACTTCAGGCCGCCCGTGCTCGCTGGCCACATGTAATGATGTCTGGTCATCCTGGATAGAACAACAGTTGGGACGATAACCGGTTACAAAACGACTGTTTGAGCCATACGTTTACAGAACATTATTTCACTCGGAACGAATAGGGAAACTTGACAAGGACACCACGAGTCACCCTGACAGAGTTCAGGTCAGGAGAAGTCAGGACTGAGTTATTTGTACTTACCCCGCTCCTCGCCTCCAGGTTGGCGCCGTTTTCGATCAGCAATGCCGCCACTTCAGTCTCCCCCCACCTGCCGGCCACATGCAGGGCTGTCTGGTAGTGCTGGATAGAACAACAGTTGGGACGATAACTAGTTACAAAACGACTGTTTGAGCCACACGTTTATAGAACATTATATCACTCGGAACGAATAGGGAAACTTGACAAGGACACCACGAGTCACCCTGTCAGGGTTCAGGTCAGGAGAAGCCAGGACTGAGTTATTTCTACTTACCCAGCCCCTCGCCTCCAGGTCGGCACCGTGTTCGATCAGCAATGTCGCCACTTCAGTCCGCCCGTGCCTGCTGGCCACATGCAGGGATGTCTGGGAAGACTGGATAGAACAACAGTTGGGACGATAACCGGTTACAAGGCGGCTGTATATAGGCCGTGCCTTTACTCAAAATGACATATCCCGACAGCTTTAGTACCAAAAGAAATATATGATATCCAGTGTTCTTAGTTCTGTCCACCGCTTGATCAGAGCAATTTCACACCTTTAGTTTGGTCGTCAAAAACGGTTTGCAACAGTTTCCGATCATTTAAACAACGGGTTTTCATCATGTTCTGGTTTCTTTCAACATTTAAATAAGGTAATAATACAGTGAACAGTGGTGCCGAACCCAAGCTATATGGCTTACTAGTATATCAACGACAAATGTTATACATCTGACAGAAATAACATGTAACAGTAAGGTACACGAAATGCCTGATACAGATTCAGAGGTGAAAAAAATAAACAACACGTACAGTAAAAAGGTTGGACTACGAGTCTGTAACCTTGCATGAACTAACAGTTTGCTTACACTGTCCCACCATCTCTTGGCCCTGAGGTCCACCCCAGCGTCCAGCCCCCTTCTCACAGTCTGCACGTCACCTTTCTGCACAGCCGTGTAGAACGTGTCCAGGTCCATCTCCTCACTACCTGCTGGGGGCAACAAAATAAGGTTTTAACAACGTGTTTAACAAAAAACGAATTTATCAAAGGTGCATACATCAGAATTTTTCAATAAGTTAATTTTTCTAATCTCTATGCAGATCATATGGTAGAAAGGCAGTGTTTATTGGCCAGAGGAGTGTCCATTGGCGTTACTGCTCTGGCTAATGAATACTGTCTTGCCAGCGAAAGGGATCTGCTTGGAGATTAGATTTTCTTTTCTGGTGCAAATTCCTAAAATTGTTTTCAGCTGTATTGGTTCTGTGTACAATATGTTCATTGACAAGACTATAGTACAGGTCTGGAGTTTTCGTGAGGTCTTTTACACAGCGAATGCAAGAAGAACTAGTACAAAGTTATAAGCATTTATATCCATCTAGTGTGTACCTACTGTTTGCATTTAGTTTGAGATATCGTATTCCAAGATATGATATTCACACTGTAAAGATGATCCTCTAAAACATGATTTGATTCGACAGGATAAAATGTATTCGTTCTTTTAGAGCGAACAGAGGAAGGTTTATCGTCCTATTTCACCTGGCAGGCATTGCAGTTTATCAGGCTGGCGGCCAGTCGTGCATAATCCCCAAGCAGATCCCAGGGTGGCCTAAGAGGACAGGCAGAGGATACTGGCCAATGGATACTGCCTGGCCAATTTGATACTGTCTTTTGCCACGTGGACCCTAGGATCTGCTTGGAGATGAAGCCGTGCAGATATGTCAACACAGACTGGCGGGTAAACATGATCAGGCCGCACCTTTGGACCGGCTGCCTTATCAACAGCGCCATTTGCCGTGGGTTTTTTATTACATTATTTTTACATAAAGGTTGCCCATAACTAACTACTTTACTTTTTACAACAAAGTTTCAACGTATTACTTAACACCATAGAGGCAGAAAATGTCATAATTCTTACCTTAGTGAAGTAAAATCCAAACTTCTCTGTTTTTAGGAACGTGGATTTGCAACCATGTAGTTTTGCTACCCAACGTTAGATATTTATCTGACAACTGCAAACTACAACTTTAATAAAAGATCAATTATAGTACAATACAAACTCACATTGAAGGTATTAAATATGTGAGCGCCTCTAGCTCTATTTGATCGCTGAACCACATGTCCGTCAATGCAATCATGTCTTTGATGGTTTATTACAATTCTGTTTAATGAGTAGGGGTGGGGGTGGCGCACTATGTTGTTTATTATGTAAATTCTGTAAATTTTGTTTTGTTTCTTTGTACGCGGGGTTGCTAGAATAAGGTTTTTCAAAACTTGAGTGCAACGCCACATTGTCCGAATGTTAAGTATAGAAAAAAGTCAGGTATGTATACATGTGTTTGTACCACTTATAAATAGGTTAATTAAAGTAAGTATACATGGGTTATCAACATTAATGTGACCAAGACATGTAAACTCGTATTCTACTGATATTTAGTAGCATACCTGCAGTCTCAGTTGATCAGACAGCCGTTCTGGAGTCCCTGTTGTCCGGTTTATGCCCTGTTGTGGTTGTTTATCCGCTAACCCGGACCAGAAGACCGGACAGACCCGGAGCCCAACATGGCGACCGGCCAGGACGTCACGAGACACAAACAGGTGCGCCGGTTTGGGGACTTTGAACTGTTATCACCAGACGTGTGTTTGTCGTCTGCTTGGTTAGTAAACTACGTCAGGGAGTTTGGCGCGAATATCAAAACGCCCAGAGTCCGTCTGGGGCAAAGTAACGGCAGATCAGATACTAGTTAAAAACTAAAAATAACTTTCTGGCTCGATCTGCAACTTTACACCAAGTGAACGGCAGATCCGGTAGTTGGCAACTAAAAATAAGTTTCTGGCTCATTCTGCAACGGCACGCCCAGACGGGAATATCAAAACGCTCAGAGTCCGTCTGGCGCAATTTTGCCGCGTAAAGTGACGGGACAGCTAGTTGACAACTAAAAATAAGTGTCTGGCTCATTCTGCAACTTTACGCCAAGATGAAACGCTGCTCTTAATGGTACTTTTCCATACCTCTGACTTAACAGACCTTCGTTATGAAGCAGGTGCGCCGGTTTGGGGACTTTGAACTTTTATCACCAGACGTGTGTTTGTCGTCTGCTTGGTTAGTAAACTACGTCAGGGAGTTTGGCGCGAATACCAAAATATGATAGAATGGTTTATTTCAAATTGAAAACTCCAGACATACACAATTTCAATTACCATCACGTTGCCAACAGACTCGCAGGCAGCCATACTGGCTGCCTGAATTGCTCCGAGGTCACAAAATGTCATTAAAATATGGGTATTATTGTTAAAAAATTATTACATACTTATTATTAAATATTGTTAAAATTTATAAATCGTAAAATATTCCTCTGCTTTAGAAAATGGATTTATAGTCAATATACATGTTAAACGTTACGCAGTAAAAAAAAGGACTGTTGTAAAACATTTGCAACAGATTACTCTTACATTGCCGTTTCAGAGTTATTAAGTAACTTAACCATGTATGGTAGTGCGCTGTTTCTAAAGCGTTCGGTTCTTGTTCTAAAACAGTCAATCTGGTTACTGGACCGTGTTGTACGTCCACTGATGTCCCCACGGCGGGGAGGGAACCAATGCCGGTAGTCGGGAGATTGTAAGAGTTTTTTGGCAAAAGTCAAGCAGAGGTGGTCTCGCCGTCGTTCCAAAGTCTCGAGGCCAAGTAGGAGACAGGCGTCAGCATAGTTTGTGTAGTTTTTGCCAAGGATAGTTCTGACGGCACGGCGTTGGATTCTCTCCAGCTGGTTACGTTGTGCTTGTGTAAGGCCTGGATGCCACGCTGGTACTGCGTACTCACACACTGGTCGGACGTAGCTTGTGTAGATTGTGAGTAAGTCCTCTATAGATAATCGGAAAGTCTTCAGTTTTCTAAGTAGGAACAGCCTCGTGCCGCCTTTCTTCACCATGTGTTCCACATGAACGTCCCATCTGAGGTCTGCTTGCAGGTGCAAGCCCAGTAACTTCGCCACTTTCACTTCCTGTAGGGGGTGGTCGTCTATTTTGAGTGGTGGTAGTGGTGGTACAGTTCTCGAAAAGTGTAGGTACATAACCTTGCACTTTTTCGGGTGAAGCTGCATTCTGTGGACCGTTGACCAGTTATTCAACTCGTCGAGATCGTGTTGGATCGTAGAGTTCCCGCTTATCTGACGACTCTCGATCAAGTTCAAATCGTCCACGAATTTCCATCGATTTGATGTCGCGTTTTCAGCGGCGCTGTTTATCAAGGCCAGGAAAACTAAGGGCCCCAAAACAGTCCCTTGGGGGAGACCACATGTTGTCTCGCTCCATTCCGAAAAACAGTCCTTGTAGCGCACCCGCTGTTTTCTATCTGACAGAAAACTGATGATCCACCTGGCCAATGCTGGTCGTAGTCCAAGGTTAAGGAGGCTGGACACTGCAAGCGTGTGATCCACTCTATCAAACGCCTTAGCAAAGTCTGTTTGAATAAGAGTGCTGACAGTGCTAGGTCGGTCTGATGTCTTGGATAGGTGATGGACGATGTCAACGAGACAATGAGTGGTCGACTTTCCGGCCACGCAACCGAACTGTGATTTGTCGATCTTATGTTTGATGTCGTTGAGAGTCCAGGCAGATACAAAACTTTCACACACCTTTGCCAAGATCGGGGTCAATGACACTGGGCGGAGTTCGCTCAATACTGGAGGGTTAGTCTTTGGCAAGGGTACAACATTAGCTCGGCGCCATTGGGTGGGTACGTGCCCTTCAGCCACTGAACTGTTCAGGATAGCTGTCATGGGTATACTCAACTCGCACGCAAATTCCTTACACCGCTTGCTTCTTACGCGCCTGTCGGACCTTAGCCAAACCCCTGCTGCCACAAGTAAAGTCGAGCCTGAAAGAGGTAGGCCTTCTAAAGTCACTATACAGACCGAGGGGTTGTAAAGGAGGAAGAAATCGTTTACGAAAAATTGGAACTATTATCGGAAACAGGCCATTCACTCTGACCGGCGAGAATTCTTTGATATGCAAATCTGTGATCCTGGGACAAAACAGATCGGCATGTCACTCCACCTGTGGTCGACCCCGCATTCTCCAAAGTGTTAGAGTCGCCCAACAACCTGTTGCACCTAGCCCAAGACCCATGCCCACTGTGATGGTATGTAACGCCAGATCCCTGCGTAACAAGATGGAGGAACTACACGCGGTTTTACTCTTAAACAAAATCCAAGTAGCAGTTGTTACTGAGACATGGTTTAACGCCGATGTGCCGACTACTTGGTGGGATATCGATGGGTACCACCTGTTCTCAAAACCGCGTGCCGGCCGACAGGGCGGGGGAGTGGCGGTCTACGCAATCAAATCAAATCAAATCAAGATCCAGTCGAGAAGGGACTGCCATCTACATTGTCTTTAGTTGATTCTGTATGGTGTCACTTCTAGCTTGTCTAACAGTAAGCATTAACGAATACACATGGCACTTATGTAATAAAATGATAGCCTTTATTCAAATAGTCCAGTGCAAAAGTGCACAGTGTCTCCTAATTCTGAAGTGCAAGAATAAAAAAGTGCAAAGTAGCTGTGCAAAAGTATATACATTCCTAGGACTTCACACCATAATTTCATTGCAATGATCTTATATCTAGCTATTGCAGGGATCTTTTATACAAATATGACTGTGTACATTCATAAAATTGCACCTTAAAATTTACATTCATTGCTTCCATCTGAAAATTTTAGATAAATTTTGAGGAATAGAAAAATAGTTGGCCCTTTGATTCCACCCCTTTACTGCACATGGAACAGTCCGATGCTGAGAAATGCATGCCCAGGTTTCTACAGCATCGATGTTCCTTCAACCTTTACAATTTACTAGTACTTGGGCCAGAAATTTTACAGTATAATTTTCTATTTTCCAAATTATGTACAGTCATTATGAATTATCTACAATACTATATCCTAAATATCTATTGTGAAATAAAAATTTTATTTCTGTGTTAAAAGGCAAAAAATAGTAAGAACATCACAAAGTGTAAAAAAATTGACACAAATCTAAACGCTACAAAGTAAAAGTAAAATTGACACAAAATCCTTTTGATACACTTCAGTGTGCAACATTGGCGGGAAGGTTGTACTGCATAGTATTACATCTCTGGCTTCAACATTATATCCATGCATGCCAACACAGTATTCTGGAGTTGGCTAACTTGGCTTATAAAAGTGTAAAATACTGTAAAACTGATACTGCATAGCTTATTGCTTAGTAAAAGCAGCCTTTAATGTTGAGCTTGAAGGCTGAAAGTTGCTGAACATGATTTCTTGTAGCAGGGGGTTGTAAAGTTGAAGCAAAATTGGCAGCTAGCTATTTTGGATCAATGTTCTTTATAGTACCATGGCACATTGTCGTTTTGTAGTTTCCGTTGAGTAGCAGCCGACCAATGATGATGATGGAGTTTCTGTTATCGTATGTCAATTATGTGGTTACCACGAGGGACAAACAAGGATGCGGTTTCCATGGAAACTGAGGTTTATATAGCGACCATGGCGTCCTGTTTCTTGCTGACCTCTGCCTAAAGGTGCACAATGCGGCGGGTGAGATGACTGATGATGAGTTTCCATTATCTTATGTTAACTTTGCAGTTGCCATGGTAACGTTTTTATTTCTGATGATGATGATTTTCCGTTATCTTAATATCTTAAACTCAAGCAGAGCGCCCTGCTAAGAGAGGGATGGTAAAAAGTATAAAAGGAGGAGTGGTCCCATCTTTGTCATTCTTGAAAAAGACTGAATAAAGTCGAATTCCGTCTCATCGTTGTCATCTTCCCATCCCTACGAATGATGAATTTCCGTTATGTTAACTTTGCAGTTTCCATGGTAACAGGGGTTTACTTGGCGCTCATGGCGTCCTGTTTCTTGCCGACCTCCGCTTCGATGTGCGCGATGCGGCGGGTGAGGTTCTCCCTGCGGAGCTGCAGCGTGGCCAGCTGCTGCTGCGACTGCTCCAGGTGGGAGGGGGGCGACGCGCCTGGGGAGAATGTACAGGCTGGTCAGAACTAGGCAGGCAACAACATAATATACAACAACAGTAGGGCATGAGGAGAAAATACAGGCTGGTCAAAACTAGGGAGACTAGGGTACATTTATAATATCAATAGAATATGGGGAGAATATACAGCCTGGTCAGAAATGTGTAGATTTGTATATTTAAAATATCTATAGGACAAGGGGAGAAAATATAGCCTGGGCAGAACTGAGCAGACATGTACAAAGGACAAGGGAAGAAAATACAGAAACTGATGATGAGTAGACTTGAACTTTTACAACAGTAACAGGACATGGGAGAAATACAGGATGGTCAACTTTAAAGCGTTACTATTACAAGCAAGCCTGGAGAGAATAAATCCCACTGCTACAACCATCAAGAAAACAAGAATAGTGTTCAGTAGATAAATAACATGGGAATGGGTGCGTGGGTGATGCTTGAAGCCATGCTGTTGTGTGTGGCTGATTCGCAAGGAATAACAAGGTATGATGTCACTTGCTTGATGTGATGCAGTATTCAACTACGGATGACCTATAATAACTTTATCTTTAGAATTTTTATTTCTAAGACTTTATTGCTTGATCTTAATGGCATCCAATGATACTACAAACAAACAAACAAACAAACAAACGGCGTACCAGCCATGGCCCTGTCGATGCCTGTGCTGAGTTCCTGCTCAGACTTGACCACCTGGGTCAGCTCTTCTGTCAGGTGGTCCAGCTTGCCCTGCAGGTCGTTCACCTGTGACCTCAGCAGGTCCCGGTGGCTGCGGAGGGCTGCGGGTGCGGCAGACGGTTTGGTGGGCCTGCGGAGGGAAGGGTGGTCATCGTCAAACAAATAAACAGTCAAATGACACTGGCTACTATATAAGAACGAACAAGGTTCTTCAATCCAAAACCAATGGGGTTTTCACATCCAAATTTCGGTGACTGTCTGTCACCTTTTTTTGGGTAACAACGACAGGTTCTGTAGCAGGGTGTTACAAGTATGAATAGGTGTAAATGCGGTCCCAATGAGTGTTCTCACATGCATATAACGTTCATGCATTAGTTGTTAAAATCCACTGGTTGCTGAATAAACAACAAAAACAGTCCCTTGCCAGGAAATTATTCATGGATGTAGCAATGAACATCCAATAGCTATCGAATAGCTACATGTATGTGACCGATAGATGGATGGTAAAGTTGTGGGTGCTGTAAAGATTGTAACGTTTTAGCAAAAGGCATTACGATTTTCATTGAAGACAAATTTATGTCCTCTTGGAAGGCAAATCAGCACCCTACAATATAAAGATGCATCCTCTAGGTACTGATAAGCCTTAAAGTCATCACCACAAGCTCCCCTCACCTGTCCTGAGCTTCTTGAGGCTCCTTCTTGCCGCGAAGTTGTCTCAGCTTAGCAGCCATCACGTCAGTAGCTGGTCCTGACCGGTTCTGGCCGGTCAGCGCGCCGCGTAGCTGCGAGTTCCCGCTGAAGTCCTGGTAGTTTGCCATCCTCTCAGATACATGCTGAAGGGAAAATGGATCCAATTAGTTGTAACAGGAGGAAGGGACTATCTTCAGTAAATACACGTTTGAGTTTAGCCAAAGTTTTGGTAATTTGTCATGTCCTCTCGGACATATGTTGTCGGATAATGGGTAAAAGAAGGAAATGTAGCTGAGTGTACATAATTTCAGCTTAAATGATTGTGTCTTTTTGTGCTTTCTTGTCAAATACCAACAGGCCTGAGTCAATGCGTGTGTTGACGTTGCACATAGAATGAAGCTCAAGAGTGCAACTGTCTTTTCTAACTTGTTACATCTTTGTTGGGGAGTCAACAACAGCAAAAGTCAACTTTTTCTCTGATCCTGTCTTGTTCCGTTAACGCACTTTACATCTTGGTATACACAGTTTTGGGGAGTGAATAAATTGCTTTCCTACAAACCACTGTGTCAATTATCTTGATCTCCTGCTGCATTCCTTCTTACAAATGTCAGGGGACCACAGAACTAATTTGTTTTGGCCTTCTTAAAGTTAAAACGTTTGGTGCAACACAAAAAATTCTCTCACCTCGAGCTTTCGACCAGTCACTCTTTTGACCAGTCACTCTGGTCTTCCTCAGTCTAGTAGGTCTTCCTCAGTCGTCTACTAGGAAGACCAGAGTGACTGGTCGAAAGCTCTAGGTGAGAGAACTTTTTGTGTTCGACCAAAAATTTTAACTTTAAACATGAAACTACCAAGTTGAACACAGATGAACTTTCATGATTGTTTTGGCCCTAATTACCTGTGAGGAGAACTCTGCCTCGACCGGCGCGGTGACCTTGGTGTTGATGAGTTCACTAACGACGTGGCCTCGTTTCTCCGAGGTCGCGCTGTGTCGGAACGCCGCCTCCAGCGCTGTCCTGCCATTGGCCAGCCACCCACCAATCAGAGCCGAGCTGGTGTTGGTGGAGCGCGAACGGGAGAAGAACATGTCCTGGCAGCACAGCTTCATGGCCTGGGGGAAACAATATAAAACAGTCACATTTAACCTCACTGAGGGCCTGGGGAGGAAAAACACATTTTATCCTCACTGAAATCACAAGAAGTGAGGAATTGTATGACATTGTATGCCGAAATGCCAGGTTTGTACATTTGTTTGTACATGCCTTTGAGCAATAAGACCTGAGCTGATATTAGACCATATTTTGATTTTTTGGATCACAGATATAACATGGCTAGTCTTCAGCTTATATTATCTAGAATCCTTACTGTCACTGAGATCACAACAAATTTTTCAACTGACTGAGAAACAAGGTACACTTATCAAAGTTACTTTCAGTCCATGATGAAAAGTAGTCAGGATGCTATTTAAAAAGTCTACTGTTTAGAGCTTTTTTATCTTTGTACAAATTCAAATCTATAAAGTCCCAACCTTGTAGAACTCCCGCAGGAAGTAAGGGTTGTTGTCGTCGGCCAGGTCGTTGACCTTGATGTGGGCCAGACAGTGGAGAAGAACAACGACGAACTCACCCACGGACTCCATACGTTCCTGGGGGGGGGGACAGAACAGGACAGGTTAACACTACTGATACAGGCACAGGTACACTGAACTACCACAAACTCGCCCACGGACTCCATACGCTCCTGTGGGTGGGGGACAGAACAGGACATGTTAACACTACTGATACAGGCACAGGTGCACTGAGCCACAACGAACTCTCCCACCGACTCCATACGCTCCTGGAGGGGGGGGGGACAGGTTAACACTACTGATACAGGCACAGGCACACTGAACTACCACAAAGTCACCCACAGACTCCATACGCTCCAGTGGGTACAACAGGACAGGTTAACACTACTGATACAGGCACAGGTGCACTGAACTACCACAAACTCGCCCACGGACTCCATACGCTCCTGGGGGGGGGGAGACAGAACAGGACAGGTTAACACTACTGATAGTTCAAAATTACTACCATCTCCCCTTCCTAATGAAGAGGTGTGCTGTTACTGTTATGCTGTTACTGTTATGCTAAGTTGCTCTAGTTTGTGAACATCTCTCACCTTCCTAATGAAGAGTATCCTCCTTGCATGTTGGTACAGGAAGGAATGTTGGAAGGCGTTCCTCACCACACATTACTGTGCCTGACCTGTACTTAAACCTCAGTACTGGCACCCATACCCATACCTGTACCTGATGTAACAGTAAGGCAGCTCTAGTTTACAACCATGTCCCACCTTCCTAATGAACAGTATCCTCCTTGCGTGCTGGTACAGGAAGGCTACATGTTACTGTGTTATGTTATGTTAGTCCGGGCCTATACCTGAACCTTTGTACCAGTACCTGTACCTGATGTTACATGTATGCTAGGGACTACAGTTCTAGTTCAACATCATGTCCCACCTTCCTAATGAAGAGTATCCTCCTTGCATGCTGGTACAGGAATGAATGGCGGAAGGCATTCCTCACCACATGTTACTGTGTACCAGTACCCATACATGTACCTGTACCTGATGTAAAAGTAAGGCAGCTCTAGTTTCAACCAACCACCCACCTTCCTAATGAAGAGTATCCTCCTGGCGTGTTGGTACAGGAAGGAGTGTCGGAAGGCGTTCCTGTGGTAGTCGTTGGGCGGCAGGTTGGAGGCCAGCAGCAGGGTGACCTCGGGCGACCCCAGATGGCGGGCCAGCAGCTGGGTGATGAACACGCCGAAACGGTACACGACGAAGTGGCTGGGCGTGAGGTCGTTAAGGTCAACGGCCATCAGGTCACCCGAGCACAGCCACTGCGCGTCCTTGATGTCCAGGTACGGACGGTCTGTCTTCGCACCTGGGGTAGGGTGGGAAGGGTAAAGATGTCAGTCTTACATGAACAATATTTTTTAAAGTTTTTCAATCTACGTTTTTTTTTCCAGTGATAAGTAGCCTTTTCTTTGCCCCTTCTTTTGGGAGCATTGTTAAGTGAACCTTCTATGCAACCAAGTGAGTAAACTTGTTGGCAAAAAAAAAATAGTCCTCCTAGTTTGGTCAATTTCTTTTTGTTCAGGCACCGAATGAATTTGGCAAAAACGTACACTTGGTATCATCACCCACTTATCTTTGCCCTGACTGGTACTTGCTCTGTAACTTACCGATGACATTACCACCTGGCAGAGTGTTCTTGAGCATGTCCTTGATCTCCGTGATGTGTTGGAAAAGCGGAGATTTCACCAGCAGGTCCATGAAGTCCTGCTCTTGGGGCGAACCCGCCGGGAATGGCAGCTTCAGGTCACCCGGGGGCAACACAGGGCCTGATGGGATACCCGACCCCTGACCCTCCTGGTCAAGGGCGTTCGGCGTTGAAGGTCGCAGCATCTGGTTGTTGGTCCTCTCGAACTCCTTGGCACCTGTAGGGAGGGGGTTGGTTTCATGTTACCTTACAACCTGGTTAACTGAAATAGTAGGAACTGCTGCCAGATGTCAAAGGACACTGATTCAGTGTACATTATGGACAAGTGAGAAGTAAGACTACCACATGTTTCCAGCTGTTCATAGGTCTTTCTCCCTTGAACTCTCCCCTTTCATCCTCTGCAATGCCCACTCCCAAACCTGTCAGTGCCTCCCTGCAAACCTGTCCCTTCTTGTTCCTCCTCCACTCCACTCCCAATCCCCATCCCTGGGTAAGTTCGGCCCAGTGCGAAATAGATGTAGATCCCCTTCCCCTCCCCTCAGCCCCTTCCCCTAAAACTACCTTCCACACTGATTCTGTTCAGCTGCTCCTCTTTCTTCCCCTCAGCCCCTCCCCCCTACCTTCCACACTGATCCTGTTCAGCTGCTCGTTGGCTCTCCTCTCCTCCTCATACTCCTCCTTCTTCCCCTCCTCCTCGATCATGGCCAGCTGAGCCTTCCGCTTCTTCTCACGACGAGCCTCCAGTTTAGCCTGGGGATGGGGGGAAGACACGAGGGTAAGAAACAAAATGACTTAGAGAGGACAGGGGGAAGGCGTGAGAGTTACAAAAAACATCTTTAACTGGCACAAGAGGTACATTTTGTAGGAAGTGCTCAAGTGACAGCAGGCAAGACATTGCATACATGAAATATTTGTCAGATGTTAGAATATGGTACCTCATCACCATTTAGATGCTATAAAAATAGGACAAACTGGACAAAAACAGGACTATGTATGCCAATGTTTGCAGAAAATGTATCTTGTCTTTATTTTATCTTATTTTTTATTTTCCGTCATTTTTATACGTGCCATTAAGTTATTGCACTTCTTTTCAATGGGGCCCTGTTTTACGCAACAAAACATAACTGTCACATACAAACAAGCTTGAATGTTCAGACTCATGTTTTGATTCTCAATGGGGATCATGTTTGAACCTTACACTTCAATGTATGGATATTTAACTACAATGTTGTATAATTTGCCCCTGACCTTGAGTGCGGCCTTGCTCCTCTCTTGGTCCTTCTGCATGGCTTCATTCAGCTTCAGCATGTTTTCCTCGTGCTCACGGAGAAGTTTCTGTAACAAACAACCGTTACAAAACATAACTCTAAACCCCTCATGTAGAAGTTTCTGTTACAAACAACAGTCAATAAACATTACAAAATATATTAACCCTCATGTACATGTAAGTTTCTACAGGTGTAAAACATTTAGATAAAAGACAGTACTTTTAACAGTAACACCAGCAGTTGTCTGACTTTTTGTCTGAAGTATTTTAACTGCATTATTGTGTGCACCATGGGTCTCCACCAGTTCTGTGAAAAAATTGTCTGTGGGTAAAACTATGTTCAACTTGTCTCCTTCCTGCTTCTTCTACAAGTGAAAATGAAAAGTCATCAACACCAGTGCAGCATTAGAACAAAAGGCTTCCTTGATAGTAAACTAGGATTTTCCGCATCAGCCCATTGGCAACTACACCTACATTTTGTACATTGTATACTGTGCGCTTGTTTTCTATCCATGTGACTCCAAAGCTGTAAACCGGAGCCCAGTTACATGTACACTAGACTCTGATCTCAGTCCTACTAGACTTTTCTCTCTAGTACAGTTGTGTTAGAATCACCAGGCTGAAACCGACTTATTTCGCTGAAACAGCCCTACTCTACTTTTCTGTGAGACAGAAACCGCATTATTACACTGAAGCAGCCCAGACTCATGAGTGCGTCCAGCCTGGCCTTCAGCATGGGTCGTGCCGCGCCCTGAGCCGACCCCATGGCCTGGGTCAACGACCTGTACTCCGCTAGAAGCCGCTGATCATGGATGGGAAACAATCGTTATCAACAAATAATCTATCAATAACTTCAGCCCTTCACAGGAGCTGATATATTACAGCACCTGAAATAAACTTAAAGGTGTCACTCACTGTAGGTTCTTTAAAAGTAAGGTGTGTTATTAGAGACTCCAAATGCTTAACTCAAACAAGCAAATCCTGCATTCTTATGTTTTCTTTCCTTCAGTAAAAAGTAAAATGAAGGAAAAAAAATTAAGATCATTTTTGCAGGAACTTGCATCTTCTGGTTTGTTAGTGACAAAAAATAAAAAAATCAGGTTATCACGTTTACAAAAATCTAACCTACACAGAACTAGAGTGTGTCTTACACATGTGCATAATTGTTTCTTTGAGTATCTTATTTATCTGTTTCTTAGTATCCATCTGTGTCCTCAAGTGCCTCTCACCTCCTTCTCGTCCTCGGTAACGTTCATCTGCTCCAGTTCCTTCCTTTTCTGCTTCTCTCGTTCCTCCAGCTGTGCCTTCGCTCTCTTCTCCCGGTCGGCCAGCCTCTCCTGCTCTCTCTTCTCATCCCTCCTTCTCTCCTCCTCTATCTCCTGCTCAAGGGCACTGCAGCGGGACGGCAGTTTTAAATTTATTTTATTGTTGAAGATTTACCACATTTGTGGAAGGATATTATATATAACAACAGAAGACATAATACTGGATGGTCCCTCAAGGTTGCAGAACACAAGGCTAAGGACTGCTGCTTGGTGGGAAAAAATGAGGAGCAATTAGAGGAGCAATTAAGAGGCCCGGTCAAGCTTACGGATGGTGACTATCACATTTCAATACGTCAAATCTGAAAAGGTTTGAACCAGTATCCCTAGGAAGGACATATAAGTCTGCTGGGATTTTATCATGCTCAAGGTGTGGCTCTCCTCAAACTTTGGTTTTACTTGGAAAGAAACCTTGGTTTAAAAACCTTTCCAGCTGGTGCCTTTCATATCTTTACCATCTTATTTTGACCCAGGGAACTCCTCACCTGACTTGGTCCCTGAGTTTCTTCTTCCTCTCCTCCTCCTTCCGTCTCCTCTCCTCCTTGATCCTCTCCATCTGCAGGTTCAGTTCCTTCATCTTCGTCTCCCGGAAGTCTCGAGCCGCCTCAGCCGCCTTCTCCGCGTCCTGGGCGTACTGCTCGATAAGGGCAGCCTGGGGAAGGGGGAGGGGTGCTTCATTACAACAGTTACAGGGACACAACAAACAGCATAAAGGTTGTAGACTGTTGTAGGCTGTAGGTGGAAGGAGAAGGATGGGCTCCACCTTCCAGTACTGTGGCCAAGGCTATGGGACTACCTTTACCCTTACTATATATACATGTATATCTATCTATCTATCTATATATCATACTGAGCAAAGCCCCTGATCTGGGGCATCAAGCCCAGGGTCATGACACTTGCGGACAGTGCGGTGAGGTGCTCCGTTCAAGGGAAAAAAATCAAACAAGAAAGTGCTTATGGTGAACAATAAAAGGTGCTATGTACATTTTGTACATGTCCGCAATGTGTCTGTAATGTATGAGTCTGACTAAGGAGTGGGGAGGCCCATGTATCGGGCCAACCCCATTTTGAAGGTGTCTGTAGTTGGTGCTGAGACTAAATGTGCTGGTAGGTAGTTCCATGGCATTAATCTCTGGCCTTGCCCTCTGCTATGTCTTCCTATTATTCTAATTCAAATCCTGGCTTAGTGATGGTTATAATGATGAGCTGGATTTTTAGACTCGTAATGTCTGAGCTTTAATTCAGTCCACAGGCTACCATTGATGTGACATGTGAATATAATTTGTCAATAAACAATTATACTTCTACTACTACTACACCCCAACAAGGCCCCCTGAGCACCGATCCCTGCAGGTAGCCCACCTGTTCGGGTGAGAGGTTCTTCATGGCGTCGGCTAGCTCCTTCAGCTGTTTCTCCCTCAGCTCCAGGCGCGCGTGTGCGTGGTCGATCTGCAGCGATGGCAGAACGTCCCTCTCAGCCTCCGCCAGCAGGGCAGCCGTACGCTTCTCAAACTCAGCCAGCTGTTTCTGGGGGGACAAAAAGGTTTTCAAGGCAAGTTAGAATAGTCTAAAAAACTACTGCTCTCTCTCTGTATTATTACTCAAACACATATATATAATATATGGTGACCAGCCTCCGCTAGCAGGGCCGCTGTACGCTTCTCAAAGTCAGCCAGCTGTTTCTGGGGGACGAGAGACATTAAGGAGGTTTTAGGCAAGTTGGAGTAGTCTAACAAACTACTGCTCTCTTAATTCTGACAATTTCATACACAAGTCATTTATATGGCAACCAGCTCCCCAAAAACCAGTCTGCTACAGCACCAGTTACCACAGTGACAGATGTCTGGTCCAGGTCACTGACCATTCATAATTTTATAATATATGGTGACCAGCCCCTTCAACTCTGTCCTGCCATTTGCTACATAATGCAATCCAACATCACAGGGTGTCTGCTACAGCACCAGTTACCATGATGGTGACAGACATCTGATACAGCTCATTGACCTTATATGTGTCTGGAAAAGAAGAAATAAGAAGCAACAGAGCAAAAACAAAATTGAACAGCTACCTTGTGTGCGTGCTGTAGTTCAGCCTTCCTCTTGGCCAGTTCTGGGGCTGTCAGCGAGCCGGCATTGGTCACCAGCTCAAGCAGTTCCTGTGAACAACAACAGGATAATTTAGCTGGACGTATCATCTTAAACTAAGTTAAAGACAACATTATGCATCATGATAGTAGGCATTTTTCTGTCTTGTTAGGTCCATGAATATTGAGTCACATTGAAGTGTGTGTGAGTGATTGAAGTCTCCATTTCGTGTTGCTACCATTTATTCAGAAAACTGCCAAAGATACAACTCATGGAACTGATAAATCTATCTATAAGTCAATGTAGACAGGTGGTCACTATTGGACCGAGGACCAGCAAAACACAAGTAAAAGACTGAAAAACTACTTGAATGTGTGTTTAGCTGATGAGCCTGAAGAGCGCCCCCTACCTGCTCCTGTTGGGACACCAGCCTGTCCCTGTCCTTATATAGCACCCCCTACCTGCTCCTGTTGGGACACCAGCCTGTCCCTGTCCTTATATAGAGGCAGAACAGTGCCCCCTACCTGCTCCTGTTGGGACTCCAGCCTGTCCCTCTCTTTGAATAGAGGTGTATACAGTACTTGAGAGAAGCCTGAACTGCTTGTGTTTAGCTGATGAGCCTAAAGAGCGCCCCCTACCTGTTCCTGTTGGGACACCAGCCTGTCCCTGTCCTGCTGCCTGCGCTCGGCTGCCTGTGCTCGCGCCGCCGCCTTTGCTGCCTCCGCTTCTCGTCTCTGCTGCTCGTCCAGACGGACTGTCTCCTTCAGGTGCCGCTGCTTCAAGACGCGGTAGATGATGTTCTCCGCCTTCTTACCGTCCTGACCTTGGATGGAATCCGCCAAGGTCGACTTCTCATGGTCCAGGATCTGAGAGGAGGTCAAGTAGGTAATCAGTATACAGTGTAGGAAAATCACTTCAGTGGTTCACTTTTGGTCAAATTTGGTGTAAGATGAAAACAAGAATCTGACTGTTATGTACCTGCTGAGTTGCGAGGTTCTCCCTATCCTGTTGCTGCTGCATCAGAACCTGCGCCATCTCAGCCTGGTGCTTCTCGGCCAGCTGTGCAGCCTTCTGACGTTTTCTCTCCTCCAGCTTCTTAGCTAGCGTGTTCTTCTGACGCTCTTTCTCCTGAGGAAAAACATTAATAAGCAATCTTTAGACTTAAACTAGAAAAGCTGCAATTGCATACAAGACTTTTTTACAGTTTTTACCAAGCTTTAGAATCGATCTCCATACATTTTGTTAGCCTGGTATCCGTCTTATTCTAGCTTCCCTTTGGAATAGACTGGCCTGTACTCAATTAGACATTCAGCCTTTATCCCATTAATAATTTCAGGTATCTGCTGTGTGTTAGTATATTGAGATCTGTGAGTTTCACACAAGTCACAGAAATTCCATTTAAGCCCCCCTGACTACATTACACCGTCTAACATCTAACCACATCTTGGTAATCTCAGCTGGCACACCAAAGGGACAAACTCATATGTGGCTACAATGCTAACTGGAGACCAGTGAGTTAGAAGTCAGACATGATCAGCTATGTGGTCCCTTACTCAAGAACTACAACCAGACCTCTTCTTGCACAGGAGAGCCAATGAGGCCAGAAAGCTTGCAGACTTCTGATACAAAACTGCTGTGGAATTTCTGTGTCACTATAAAGTGAGGATATGTTGAGTTCACAAGCAGACGAACACCTCGTGTATGCTGGGCAGACAAATTTCATGACTAAAGACAAAGACTAGTAGCTGTTGCCCTGAAGCCACCCTGCCTACTGCACCCCATCTACTGTCCAACCTGCCACAAGTCTGCTAACAGTTGGAGCAGACCAGACACTTCTCCATGGGGCGGCTTGTACATGGGAGGAGGAGGGGTTCATAACACACATCATCAGGACAAAAATGTCATTCTTTAAAAGACATGACACACATTTTTTTTAAAGTTTGAAAATTACCTTAAAATAATATGGTACCACCTTAAAATTTGCAAGTCTGAGGTAAACAAACATCTGTCTTTACAGGCCCTTATTGTAACCCAAAACATGTGAGTGGTTCGTATGAGCCTTGTTTTGAGGTAGTAGATAAATTGTAGTAAAATTACAAGAAATTCTGTAAATTTGTAATTCTATATTGCTGTAACAAATTATAGTCATGTTAAATGCAGTTTGTTCAAATGAAATCAAAAAGAGGAGATTCTGACCTTCTGCGAAAGACATAGTATTCCACAGACACACATTTCTCTTTGCAAAAGTTGAAAGTTACAGAAATTTCTAATTCAACATTGCTGAAACAAATGACAGAAATGTTAAGCTACTAATACTGTTGTTGTTGTTTGTCCGTCATTCTACAATGACCAGTGAAATCAGCTTTTACTACTACTAAATCATATACTACTACTACTAAGCAGTCTATACATTTTTGATGAAAGCATGAAGAGGAGATTCTGACCTTGTCCATGTTGTCTGCCATTTTCTCCATCTCCTGCTGGTGAGCAGCTAGCATCTGTTTCACCTGGTCCTCTGTCAGGTTCTGTTCCTTCTTCTTCAGCACCAGGTCTCGCTCAAACTGAGCTTTCTGTTGGTCCAGGAGCTGTAAACAAACAGTAAACATGTCAACAAACAAAGGTCCTCTGTCAGGTTCTGTTCCTTCTTCTTCAGCACCAGGTCTCGCTCGAACTGGGCTTTCTGTTGGTCCAGGAGCTGGAAACAAACAGTAAACATGTAAACAAACAAACAAGCAAACACACGGCACAGGCCACGCTCAAACTGGGCCTTCTGTTGGTCCAGGAGCTGTAAACAAACAGTAAACATGTCAACAACAAACAAAAACACCTGGTCACACTGAAACTGTGCCTTCTGCTGGTCTAAGAGCTGTAAACAAACATTCAACATGTCAACAAACAAACAAAGAAACAAACAAACATTCAAGCAAACACACGGCACAGGTCTTGCTCAAACTGGGCTTTCTGCTGGTCCAGGAGCTAGGCACAAACAGTAAACATGTAAACAACAAACAAAAAACACCTGGTCACCCTCAAACTGCACCTTCTGCTGGTCCAAGACCTGTACACAGTCTACACGTAAATAAACAAACAAACAGCACAGGTCACAGGTTCAAACAAGCACAAACAGTCAAAATCTTCAGAAACAAAAACATAAGGGTGCATAGGGGGTAAAGCTTTACATAATGGATGAGATAGTGAACATTCTCTCTCACCAGTTTCTTCTGCTCCTCCATCTGTGTCTCCACGGCGACACTGCTGTTCTCCAGCTCCTGGTCCAGCCTCCTGCCGGCCTCCCGGTCCTCCTGCCGCTGCCGAGTCTCCAGGGCGGCCTGCTCAGCAACCTGCAGGGGAGAAACTTTTCTTCAGTGTTCTTCATCTGCCGGTGCAATAGCTCAATTGGTAGAGTGCTCGCTTTGTAACCGGGAGGTTGTGAGTTCATACCAAAGACTTTAAAAATGGTACACACTTCTTTCTCTGCTTAGCACTCAGCATCTATGAGAAAGGGTGTGGGAAGGTCAAACACACAGCACTACCAGCGGACCAGCCCCCTGCTGTAGTGCACTGCACAACTGTGTGTCGCCCAAGGGCTACAGAATTGGATATGGGCACCACCCTACGCTCTGCATAAGGGCACGGGAGACCTTTCTTTCTTTATTCATCTGCAAACTGAAGCTTCAAAAGGCTGACCCACAGGACAGAATCAGCTGGAGAGCAGCAACCAGGCCAGGGCAACATTCCACGTCCAACCCTTGAGCCACGGGGAATGCGAGAGGATAAAACGGATAGTGAGTGAGTGAGTGTGCTGCCGAATGTTGCAGAATGTCTCCCCAGAAATTCTTAGGGGAGAGGTGCTCCCTAATGAAATGAAATGAAATGAAATCAAATCAAATTCGGTAAGGCTCTCGCGGGCAAATACCCCTAGCCTGATTTTTTCAGTCTGCAGAATTGCAGGTTGCTTAATTTTTCTTCAGTCTGCAGTATTGAAAATATGCAAAATGCAGAATAAATAACACTTACCTGCTGCTGGTGCAGGTTCTCCACGGCTTGCCCGGCCGCCGCGTCAGAGTCCGTCTTCTCTCGGATCTGGTCAATCGCATCCGACGCCTCTGCTAGGCCTCGCGCCGCCTGGACAACATGGATCAGGTGTTAGGGTCAGACAAAGCAGATTCAAGTCCTACACATGTACCTGGTTTACCAAAGATGTGCAAAAGATGGGCTCCTGGGGGGAAGGTGGTTATCGTATCCAGAATCGTGCCTATTTGATTCTATGCCTGAATGGGTTAGGATCAGGCACGGTTCTGGATAGTCTGCGTGTATCCACGAACGTAGATTTGCGAATTGCCATACTTGCATCACTTTGAATTTGGAAAACATGTTGAAAGCCTAATACATGCATTACATTTCACTTCGTGTAAATCTAATGTGCGCTGTTTCTGTTCCTTAAAACAAATCCAGCTACATAGGGTGAGGGGAAAACAAATATTAGAACGTTAGGCTGGTTTGGGTTACATTAAAATCAAACCACAAGCAGATCACACCAGTGTATGATGTACTCTCCAAGCAGAAGTTTATATTAGGCTTTTTAGGCATTTTTGTCAGAATTTCTCTTTTGTACCTGTCCAGTATCTTTTTTTGCCAGTGCCCTGCCAATTTGATATTGTCTTGGCAATTTGATACTGTCCTGTAACCACCGAAAGATCTGTTTGGAGATTATGTACATGTACATGATTGTATGATGAACAAAACCACATGTGCAGGTTAGTGTTAGACGATGTGTACTAATGTGCCACAGCCTTGTCCACCTCAACTCTCCTCATGGGGATGAAGAAGAATTGTTAGAGTTATTGATCAGAAATCTGATCTGATTGATTAGGTTGTGAGCCTGTTAGACCGTTAGTGCTGCCATCCCGGGGTTACTTAAGGTCATTGTCATGACAACAGGCCTACCTTGTCCGCTTCCTTGAGGGGATCCTACAGGTGAGCATGAGGAGGAAAACAGTATGTTTACTGCAAGAACTATGGAGGGATTGTTGAACTATCGACAGCTGTACCAAATCGAAGCATGGTATTTTACATATATTGAGCTGCTCTAGAAAAAAAAAACTAAGCATGTTTATCTTCTACAGAAAATGAAATGGTTACTCACTTGTCAATATCAGCTAAAATTAAAATTATAATTATTTTAGCATTATGACTAAAGAATAAGTGTCAGTTCTTTGGTTAAGAAGTGTCATAACTGAGCATCTCAAATGAACCATGTTGCAGGTTAAGGTAGTGTTATAAAAATTAACATTCTAACAATCTAAGGTCAGAATGGCACTACATGTTCCTGACAAGGAACCCAAACGAATGAGCAAATATCCAGTGCTTGCTAACCTGTGCTTACTTATAAGTCACTTTGCTACAATTAGAATCAAAGTGTCCTTCCTTTACCAAAGCTAACTATCCCTGCCATTCAGTTTTGCTAATTATATCCAGTTCGTTAATTTACCTGAGGCTTGCTAATTGTGTCCAGTTCGTTAGCTTACCTGAGCCTTGCTAATTGTGCCCAGTTCGTTAGCTTACCTGAGCCTTGCTAATTGTATCCAGTTCGTTAGCTTACCTGAGCCTTGCTAATTGTGTCCAGTTCGTTAGCTTACCTGAGCCTTGCTAATTGTGTTTAGCTCGTTAGCTTACCTGAGCCTTGCTAATTGTGTCCAGTTCGTTAGCTTACCTGAGCCTTGCTAATTGTGTCCAGTTCGTTAGCTTACCTGAGCCTTGCTAATTGTGTTTAGCTTGTTAGCTTACCTGAGCCTTGCTAATTGTGCCCAGTTCGTTAGCTTACCTGAGCCTTGCTAATAGTGCCCAGTTCGTTAGCTTACCTGAGCCTTGCTAATAGTGCCCAGTTCGTTAGCTTACCTGAGCCTTGCTAATTGTGTCCAGTTCGTTAGCTTACCTGAGCCTTGCTAATTGTATCCAGTTTGTTAGCTTACCTGAGCCTTGCTAATTGTGTCCAGTTCGTTAGCTTACCTGAGCCTTGCTAATTGTGTCCAGTTCGTTAGCTTACCTGAGCCTTGCTAATTGTGTCCAGTTCGTTAGCTTACCTGAGCCTTGCTAATTGTGTCCAGTTCGTTAGCTTACCTGAGCCTTGCTAATTGTGTCCAGTTCACTAGCAACAGCTGCCTCCTTGGCGAGTTCCTCTCTGTGCCGTTTCCTGGCCGCCAGCTTAGCCTGCAGTTTGTCTCTCTGTTCGTCGAGGGAGTCCTGGAACCGTCGCTCCACCAGCCCTGCCTGCTGCATGTAGTGGGCGACAGCCTGCGCTTTCTCCTCTTCTGTTAGTTCTGAACTGGATAGCATGTCCTGGGAGTTGTGTGAGAGACATATTAGAACCCTAAAACCTTATTTTCTAAAACAGCAGCTGTATTTGTGTCATCTTGACATATAGCTAAAGTCACTAGTAGGAAGCAGTACAAAGAACTTCCTTTGACAGGGCTCGAAATACTTTTTTCAGCCAGGTGGCGCATGTTGCCACCTGAGTCAAAAGCCAGGTGGCGCCATCAGTATTCAAGTGGCAACACTTCCAAGTTATCATTTTCTTCAAATCTGCTACTTATATCTATTACGTTTTCTTCTAGTTAACTACTTAAGTTTTATGTTATAAAATAAATGTAAAGAACACAAAAGCTCTCAAAACAACAATGTTTTAATAAAGAATGCCACCTTTACATCACTTCATCACAGGGCTGCCGCCGTGGGAATGCCACGCCTCTACATGGCGGCACACTTATGCGGGTGGTGTTACGTGCGCCATGTTCTTCGTTTGCGCAAGGATAATGTT